CTGCTGGCGGGAGACCCGCGACCTAGCTCTGTGACTGCGATAGCGACACCAGCCCGGAGGGATCCCCTGTGCCAATCCGGTGTCCTCCCAGGATCCCGAGTCCTCTCGCCCAGCGGACGCGTGCCGCGGTCAATCGGGGTCCCTGAACCCAAGAGGACACGCGGGGCCCCCTCGAGCTCTGGGAGTTACATCTCCACCTCAGATCCCCAGGGACATAGACGGGGAATGGAGGCCTGAGGGAAGGTAAGGGCTTGGGTGGAGTCACTGGATGACAACTGAAGAGCGCTTAAGGTTTGCAAAGTAGAGGGCACTCCCTCAGGGCCTCTGCACCCCTTGGGGCTGTTCATGGGGAGTTCTGAGTATGCTCCCAGGCCAAGAGCTTCAGGAACTGCCCCTCGAAGTCCTCATTATGCCCTACTAAGGTCCACCGCGCTTCCGGAGACCTCTCTTTGGCTCTGGATTGGGGGGTCCTGATCTGCTGGCCAGGGCTCCTCACAGAAGCAGGCCTCCAGCCCTCCTGAATGGAACTGCCCATCCCTCTGACTCCAGTGGCATCTCTCCAATCCCCTTGGAGCTGGGAGGAGCCAGGAGGCCCATGCAAACCTGCCCTCAGCTCCTCACAGCATCCCTGGCCCCCAGCCTGGATCCCATTAAAGCCCTAGAAGTGGAGGTTTGGGTCCTCCTTCTCACCTTAGCCCCAAGTTGTGACCAAAGTCTCCTGCCTGCTCTTGCCTGGCCTCACCCTCCCTGCTTCTGGGTGCTTGGCCATGCCTGCTCCCCACCTCCACCCACTGTCTTGGCTGTCTGGCACCCTCTCTCCTCCCATCCCTGGGGGAGCTGGCATGGGCCCAGCATGGCTGATGTGGTAATGTCCCTGGCAGTGCCCACAAGGAGAGCTGTCAGGCCTGTTCCCAGTCAGTTAGCTCAGGCCCTCCAGCACCAGGGGCACTTGACAGGCTCCTGAAAGGGAGCAGGTGCTTCTGAGCTGAGAGACCCTGGGGAGGATCAGGGGGCTGCTCACAGCCCAGGGAAGCTGCCAGAGTGATGGGCACTGAGGGACTGAGTGCTGCTCAGAGGAGCAAGGCACCTTTCCGGGAAGCAGACCTTTTTCCTTAAAGGAAGATTAGCATGGGTTCCTGTGCTCCTATGTAGTAACCCAGGGCGCACGACTGCTTTGGAGCCCGTTGGTCCATTCAGTGTGCAAGGAGACAGCTGGGCATGACCATGGAGTTAGCCGGATATGGGAGCAACAGGCCAGGATGGCTGAGGATGGGCAAGGCAGGATCCTCATCTGAGACAGCAGAGCCCCCAGCTCCTCACCCTCTCCTGGTCCCTGGCCCTAGACCCTGTACCCCTGCCCTGCTGCCTCCTCCTGGGCTCCCTCTCTCAGCTCCCCTACTTCTGCAGAGGCATCTCCCCAACTCATAGTCATGCAGATGTAGCAAGGCACAGGAGTTCATGGAGCCCTGCAGAGACAGCCCAGCTCATTGCTGCTCCCCTCACACAGACTCCCTGGACACACCCTCAGGCACAGCCAGCACAAGTGCTGCTCCTGGTGCTCAGGGGCTTTCACCCACCACCTTTCCCTGCTCTTCCCTCACACACACTTGCCACTTGTCCCACCCCCTCCTCCTGCCCTTTTCCAGGACCCGGCATGTCCCCTGTCAATGCCCAGTCTGTGTAACTCATTCTACATGGCTGTCTGGCTCCTTCTACGTGGCCAGACCCAGACACTGCCTGCATCTTAAAAGCCTCCCCTCCTCACAGCCTGGGAGTGGGAGGCACATGTGTCTGTGTGGCTGCTCCTGGGGACATTGTCACAAGTGGGAGGCCTCAGGGGACACAGGAGTCTTCTGCTGGGTCATCCACAAGTGGGCTTCTTTGCCTGGGCGGCAGGGCATCAGGAGCCAGAGGAGGGCCACCTCCTTCCTGCCTGGCCTGGATGCTGCCTCACAGCCTGCTGGGCTCCTTTTCAAGACAAAGGCCAGAGCAGGAGAGAGCTGGGAGAGGATCTCCAGGGTGCAGATTAGAGGGAGGAGGCTGCAGTGTTCAGCTGAGCAAGGATTACATTGGAATTTCCTGGGCATTTAACAGCTGCACACCAGGACAGAGGACAGGGCCCCTGGTGCTGACCCCTCCCACGCTGACCCTGCAGGGAACAGGTGTGAGAACCAGCCCAGCACTCCCAAAGGGCACCAAACCCTTGGCCCTTTTGTGCTGAGGATGCTCCCTCTCCCCAGGACTGCTGAAGGCCTTGCCTCAGCTCTGTCTGGGCTTTGTTTCCATGGTGCCCTCACCTGTGCTGAATGCCCAGTCCCCTCTGTTTCTTTGTGTTCCAGTACTTTTCGTGACATGGTGGTAGAGAAGCATGAGAAAATGAGCTTGGGGAGAGAAGCTTGAGGAACATCCAGGGACAGCCATTATTTCACTCTTATTGCTGTCTCTCTGCTCATTCATCTCCACTTCTACTATCCCTTCATGTCTGCTTTCCTCTTACAGGTGAACACTCCTTACCCCTTAGAGGGCAAAGGGGAGGGGAGGAAACAGAATTGTCTAGGTTTTAAAACCATCTTAGTTTCTTTGTGTTTTTTGTATCTATAAAAAGTAAAGTATGCCTTCTTGTAATATAATAGCAAGAAAAACTATTGAAGTACGTATAAGACAAAGTTAAATTATCCCCTCCTACCACCCTGCATTTCTCCCTCCTACAAGTAACCAATTTTAATGATTAGATCTGTCTCTGTCTTACTTTTCTCCAAGCTGATTTGGCTTAGATTACTTAAATTTTAAAATTTCACTTTGTGGATTGAGGTGCATAAGATCTATTACGCAAGCCAGATTTGTTCGTAGACAGTCATATTTAGAATTTAATTTGAGCATAGTTAATTTTTAATGCCCTTATTGATTTAAAATTTTAATTTATCTTTACACTTTTCATATTCATAGAAAACTGACTACCTAAGCTAAGATTCTACAGTCTTTCATTTTCACCAGTTCTTGAAATCCAGGTCAAACCTTAATGTCTAAGACCTATCTTATTGTGTGAACGAAAGAAATGTATAAGGCTCATGGATCTCACATCTCCATTGTATCAGAAAGTGATATATCCAGAAAATGATATATCTGGAAAAGGAGCAGAGAAATATATGAAATCATAGAATGCAATTTTTGTCACATGAAACTTCATCTAATTAGTCTTAGTTTCTTTGTTTTTATTTATTTTTTTGGTATCGGGGATCAAACTCGGGTTCTTGCACTTTCGAAGCAGTTGGGTGAACCACTGAGCTAACTCCCCAGCCCTTCAGTCTCATTTTCTGTACTGTTATTTTACATCCTCATTTCTGCTGCTTTGGGCACTTTATATTTTTTAAACCTCATATGCATTGCGATGAGAGTGTTTTCCTGACTGACATCAGTCTTGATCATTTGTGTGTGTGTGTGTGTGTGTGTGCGTGTGTGTGTGTGCGTGTGTGTGTGTGTGTTCAAAGAATTCTGGATACTGGACAGCTCCTCCCATGAGCTGAGCAGATAGAGGGGTCTCAAGCAGTGGAGGGGTCAGGGAGAAGCCGGACATTGTGAAGGTCTCTTCCCATGCTTGCTGTGCCCAGGACGCTCTTGCGGATGAGGGCAGGAGATGTTCCCTGTCCACAACCAGTGCAGGCCCCTTTGGAAGTCAGGCTGTAAGTGCTGCTAGTTTAGTATTCCAGGCAGGCGAAGCAGTCATGTTCTTATCACTTGTTTTTCTACCTTTGACACTTGCTTCAGAAGAATCTGCAGTGCTACGAGTTAGTTGATGGTAATTTATTCCATATCTTAAAGTTTCCTCTTTCCTTCTTTTTCATTCTTCCAGTGGAAATAGTCTTAAATTTGTTTTATATATTAGAAAATAAAGGAATTGAATTTATCTCATTTAATGTCTTACTCTGACTCAACAACGTTTTTCCCCAAAAGAACTGTTTTAACCTTCAACACTCTGTACCTGAATCTGAGAGGTTCTCAACAAACATTAAAACACACTTTTCAGTACTTTAAGATCTTCAACCATTTATATTTAATGAATATCTTTGATCTTTGTAAAACTTCAAAAAATTATGCCTAACATTCTCCAAGCAGTGTTTCCATTTTCTTTTCCTTCTGATTCTTCTTGATGGGAGAAGCTGGGTGGTTCACATATTTGGTAATTGGCTGTGCTCTTTGCTGGATCATATGGAGCCAGACTAGCTTAATGGTGTCATTGAAATACATGTTTAGGCTGTGCAAGTAACCAGCTACAGCCACAAGCCACTGTGTGACTTACGTTGTGGGTCATTAAAGCAACAACATTGCCATCCCTTATTTGCTGAAACGTTCCATGTCCCACAAGTGATATTATTCATACTGCTTGTTTTATATCTCCTTTTTGCTGTCCTTCAAACCAAAAGAATGTGTTAACGTGTTACCAAAATATTATATTATAATTCCTTTAGAGATAGGGTTTCTTCACATTGCTGTGTTTCCCTGGCTTGCCTCAGACGTGTAATCCTTCTACTTCAGACTCTCACAGTGTTGAAATTAGAAGTGTACTCCACTGCTTGCATTTTGGAGGTTTTCTTTTCTTACACATCCAGGATTACCAGAAAAAAATTTAATGAGTAGGAATTAAGTTATGATTTTCTTATTGATTAAAGTTGAACGTAGTCGCAAATTTCAATTTCGCTTTCATTGAGAAATGTAGACTTTTCCACACCACTCTGGCTCACAGGGCCGCACACATGCAGCTTGCAACTCCCCTTCTGGCTGGCTGTTTTAGTTTTGGTTTTGGTTCCAGTCCTCTCTTGAGAAATGTGGGCAATGACCCTATCAGACAGAAATGTATGGATTCTGCGCTTCTGTGCAAAAAACACACACAGGCTCTGGGGACTGAGCTGCAAGGAGAGATGGAGCACAGCCGCTGTCCGGGTCAGCGGGCAGAGCAGGTGCTGGCTCACAGGTCTTGGCTGTGACCCTGGAGGTAGCCAGGTCTCTGGTGCTAGACTCTTAGGCACGATGCTGCGCCTCCGGCAGCTCTGAAGCTTTCCTAAGTCGGAAGCTGTCTGGAGTTCTCGGAAATCATTCTGAAGGATAAATACTCTCTGTGTTCATTGTACTAAGGAGTTCATATCTACACTTTTAAGTGATGATGCGGTTGGAAGGATAAGACATATGCAAGATTTTAAATGTAAAATTCCAGAAAACACAAGGACGGTTAATTCTGCTGGCTGTGACCCCCATTCCCCTTCCTTTGCTTTCTTACCCAGTTGCCTGTGCTCCTCTATAACTGTGCTTCCATATATACGTATGTGTTTGTTCTTCAGATAGCACTTCAGTTCTGCACTTAGCACTACCCTAGAAATGATTTTCTTTCAGCTCATGACCAGTGCCTGATCATCCTCACTGAGGATGCGCCCTCATTTCCTGACAGCTGTGTGTGGATGGGCAGGCAGTTAATTTGCAGCCTTTTCCCTTATAAACAATTTGCATGAGCACCCTTGTTCATAGTTCTGTGCAAACTGGTACAAGTTCTGGCCCCTGCACAGTGTCAGAGCGGTCAAGCTCCCAGACAGGGATTGGCAGTTGTTTTCCAACACCAGCTTCCCACTGAGAACTAGGAGACACCATTGCTGATACTTTGTCCTGCTCAAAGTGTGTTTTCTCAGTGTCATAGGTACAATGACACCTGAGCCAATTCAGGCTGCAGTAGCCGAGTGCCATGGACTGGGTGGGCTGTCACCCATAGACATGTATTTCTCACCACCCTGGAGGCTGGTCCAGGCTGGGGAGCCGGAGTATTTGGATTTGGGTTCAGGCCCTCTTTCCACTTGGAACTGTGCTCTTTTCAATGTAGTGTGATGAGGTAGAAAGAGGGTTACAAGCCCTGTGGGATCTCTTTTATAAGACCCCTACTCCCATGAATGAGGGAACAGCCCTCAGCACTTACTCCCCAAGCCCTACCTCTTTATACCATCCACACAGGGTCAGGGTTTCTATACAGGAATTAAGGGCAGGGGCACCAACATTTGGTGTATAACCATTTCCATGCCACAGTTTTGTTTTTGTTTTGGGGTTTGGGTTACTGGGGATTGAACACAGGGCCTTCACATTAAGCGAAAACCTCAGCCCTTATTTGGAGATACGTTGTCTCTAAGTTGCCAAATCAGGCTGGGCTCAGACATTCAATCCTCTGCCTCAGCCTCCCCGAGTGCCGAGATTACAGACATGCGTGACCTCTCCCAGTCTCTACAGTTGTTTTCATAAGCCTTCCTTCGACTGTGAGTACACATGAAGTATCTTTTCATGTGTTCAAGCCATACGCTTATTTTTCTCTAAGCCACAGGAAAACATGAGGCCCTGGAGGGAGAGAACTTTTGTTCAGAGATTGTCTGCCAGACCGACATAGCTCTTTCCTCACTCATCTTTCAGAATCTTTATGCCTGTGGTCCTTTTACATTTGTTCCCCTCCCTTCCCTCCCTTCCTACCCTACAGGCATCTTCCTGCACCCCTCTCACTCTACTGCCTCGCTGCATTGTCCAGAGCATCCAGGGAAGAGAGCAGGAGCACAGGGAGAGTCTGTGTGTCAGTGAGCACACAGCAGCCACCTCCCTCCCCAACTCTGATGCGAGGAAATTTCTAACTTCCACAAAGGTGACTGCTGGAGGAAGGAAGGAGAGTAAATGAAGAGAAAGAGCTGGAATCACTCCTTCCAGAAGAAAGGGGTAAGGAGGAGACAGAGTTACCTGGGTTCCTCTTTAAGGAGGAGGCCAGGAGAGAGAACCGCAGAGTCACCGTCACACAGGGAGTGGGAGGTGGCCTGGCCTGTTGGGCTCCAGGATGGTGGAATTTGCAGAGCATACTCATGAGAGACCCTGTGCCCCTGATGCTGCTGGCCCAAAGTCTGTGCCTGCGGAATCTGAGAGCTGTTTGTGGGGACACAAACCAGATCTGAGTGCCTGGGTTAGACATGAAAAGGCATTTTCTCCTCCCTGCCTCTTCTGGCTCTGCATGTCTCCCCAGGAAGCAAGTGTGGCTGCAGATCCCCAGTCTTGTGAAAGCCACATCCCCACCTGGGGGCAGGGTGGTGGCCAGGGAAATGGTGGGAGCCTTGAAGATGTCCCATGGCTTCTGAGGGCGCTGCCAGGTGGAGGATCAGAGTGGCAGGCACGGTGTGTGGCCTATGCGTCCTGACCTTGGTGCCCTCAGTGCTGGCTCTGGAAGGTAAGGAGGAAGGGGCCAGATTCCCCCACCTCACGGTGGAGTCCAGTGTGGTGGGAAAGGGGAGGGCTCCAAGAGGCAGAAAAGAGTGAAGGCCTAAAAGAGGGGATGGCATGGGGATCATGAGTGACCTCTATCAGGTATTTCAGACAGGTTCCTAACAGGAGCTGATCTCCTGCTGCCAAATGAAATGGATTGGGGGCATTTTGGGTTCCCCTTGGGGTGGAGTAACTGCTGTGTGCCTTTCTCTCTGGCAGAGGTGTTGTTGGGCACCACAGGAGAGCCTTCTGAGATGGCTGGCTCACCTACCCACCAGGTGGGGTGAGTCTGAAGTAGCATAGAAAAATAAACACAGGTAAAAAGAAGTCAAGGAAAAGTATAATTTTAAAATAATGCCTTTTTATTTTTTAATTACACTGTTAATTAAAAATACAGTTTTGGGCTGTGCCTTTTTACTTGCAAGAGGGTCTTGTGTATTTGTTTCCTCTTACACATGGGTTTTGTCATCACTGGATGTGGACAGCACCTGCTGGGGGCCATCATGCTCTTCCTCTACAGAAGAGCACCATAGAGCTCATACTATGGACAGAGTAGACTGAGATTTCTTTCTACCCCGAAGTCTCCATCAGTGTACCCAGCCTCAGTCTATGATATGATGCTCCTCTTTCACTGGAGGGCCTACATTCTATTCCTTTAAATGTATACTTTAAAAAATTTTGGCTAATAAATCCCTTTCTGCCTCTTACTGACTAGTCCTACATTTTGTTTTCTGATGGAAGTCAGTAAACATGGGCATTTACTCTGTGGGTAAGGCAGGTTTAGGCTCTCCATCCCACTTTAGGAATTCCCCTTGGGCCCTGACTAGTGATAAGTCTAACGCGGACAGTACAATATGTGTTAGGGGACCACTGGCCTCCACTCCCTTGAACCTGGACAATGCCTGAGGGCCACTCCCCCAACTGGTGTCCTAAGGTCCACTACCCAGAGGTAGAGATGAGTTGTGCGTGCCAGATCCTTCCACATGACCTATAGTAACCTTTCTTCAGTTGATGCTCATGAAAGTTTTATGCATATGGGCTGCATCTCCTTGATCCAATTATAACAGAGTGAATTACGGAAAAGGGCACAGGTAGTAGAAACATCTAGCATGACTCAGCACCCTGTCAGTGTCACGTTGCCAGGTGTGCTCTGCCTGACCCAGTGGGAGGCACTCTAGACCTGGTGAAACATTTCAATTCTTAAACCCAGCATATTCAGTGAATGTGCCACTTTTCTTTTTATTTCTTTCTGCCAGTGTGAGCCTGCTCACCGGCTGTACCATCACCTCGTTTAACTTTGCTGCTTTCTTCTTCCTTTCATGTGCCATGTCCAATTCTTTGTTCATCACCTGCAAGAACATAGAAACCTGTTCAGAGCCCCATCACTCAGGGCAACACCTCCATGGTTCCTGGACTGGAGAAATCAGACAAGAAATCCTGAGTAGCCAGGTGAGCTCAGACTCCTTTGCTCTGGAGGAACTGAGCTTCAGGATCTCTGCTCCCTTCGTAGCCTGCCATTAATTTTAGTCCTATTAGAGTAGACAGGTCCCCTTCATTGTCACCCAACCTCCCTGCACAGCCCAGCTAACCTTCTTCCGGCCCCTGCAGTGGGATGAGGTGAGCGTGCTGGACGACCAGCGCCGCCTGACTAGGACCTTCGAGGCGTGCCACGTGGCAGGGGCCCCCACAGGCACTGGGCAGGACAACTGGCTGCAGACGCACTTTGTGGAGCTGCGAGGGGCCCAGAGGGTACACATCAGACTACACTTCTCCGTGAGAGCCTGCAACAGCCTGGGTGTGAGCGGGGGCACCTGCAGGGAGACCTTCACCCTCTACTACCGCCAGGCTGAGGAGCCCGATGCCCCTGACAGCAGCCCTGCCTGGCACCTCAGGCAGTGGACCAAGGTGGACACCATTGCAGCAGACGAGAGCTTCCCTGCCTCCTCCTCCTCCTCCACATGGGCCGTGGGCCTCCACAGGACTGGGCAGAGGGTCGGGCTGCAGCTGAACGTCAAGGAGCGCAGCTTTGGCCCTCTCACTCAGCGCGGCTTCTACGTGGCCTTCCAGGACACAGGGGCTTGCCTGGCCCTGGTGGCTGTGAAGCTCTTCTCCTACAGCTGCGCCCCCATGCTGCGGGCCTTTGCCTCCTTTCCTGAGACACAGGCCAGTGGGGCTAGGGGGGCTTCCCTGGTGGCAGCAGTGGGCACCTGTGTGGCTCACGCAGAGCTGGAGGAGGATGGGGCAGGGAGCCAGGCAGGACAGCATCCCTAGTCTGCACTGCAGTGAGAGGGTACCTCAGTGGTAGCTGCGGAAAGAAATTGTAGATTGGAGGCTGCTAGTGCCTCCTATTCACCATCTCTTCCACCATGCTATGATACCCCTTCCCTAGCACCTCACACCCTCCCCTTCTCAGAGGGCTGCATGTGGCTGATCGGGAACCTACTTCCGGATGTTGCAGAGACCTCAAATAAAGTAGGTGCCTTATAAGACAATGCTCACTTTCCTGGGAACCTGCCATCACCTCTTCTGTTTCTACCAGTTTATAAACAGAATTAAGTCTCAATATATAACCTGTGGCAAAGCTGAGAGTGCAGGCAGAGTGGAGAGGACATGCACCCAAGCTTAGGGAGCATTGCCTGCCGGGCGTGCACTGATGGCCCTGGAGACTGAGCTGAAGACCAGAGTGTGGTGGTCAAGGCCGGATTGGAAAGCTCACTATGTGTGTCAACAGGGAGCTGCTCCTCTTCCCTTGTGCAGAATTTAACACTTTGGCAAGCAGCCTAGAGAATGAGTCCAACATATGCCATTTGCTGACTCATGGAAGTTTGGAAAAAGTAACCGCCTTCACTAAAGTAAGTAGAGATGCTGAAAATTGCCTTGGAAGATTATGAAAGAAGGGATCAAAAGGCTTAGGAAAGTAGAAATGTTGTAATTGGTCCATTACATAAGACAGAAAAGCCTACCAGCTGATCATGTTCCTCAGAAAGCGCAAGGACACTCTGTTTACCAAGGTGATCTAAAAAAGTGTGGCTAAGGATGATGTCAGCTGAGGTGTTTTGTGTTAGGAGCTGCTGCTGCAGAACTGAGCTCCTTAGTAGCAAGGGAACATAGGTAAGCAGAGGAGCAGAGGTAGGTGCAGCACTTGCTGTCACATGTGAAGTGTGTACATGCACCCTACTAGGTGAAGGTGTAGGGCCAGGTATAAGGTGTCTGTGCAGCATCACCTTTGGGGATGGCTCATACAACATGGTGCTTGTGAGGGAAAATGTATGAGCAACTCTCAGGAGCTTGCTATACCTAATCTGAAGATATCAAGAAGAAAGCTAAGGCAGTAATACCCGTGATCCTGTGCCGCATCTCCAGATTTGAGCCAGTTCTCAGACCCAGGATCTATCACAGGAAAGGAACCTCAGAGGCACTGGAAGTCGGGCTACTCAACAGCATGACAAGTAACGCGGTGGTGACTGCCCAGTCTTGCCCAAAGGCCAATGCTTGTCTTTGTGGACAGCTACCCCTGGGAAAAAGGAATGACTCAGATATGACAAGAGCTGTAGGATAGAGGAATATGTGAGTTCAAACTGATGCCCAGGAAGAGAAATCATCAATGAATCCCTTACAAGAGAGCATGCATGAGTCAAGTTACTAATGCAACACTGATCCAGGCCTCTCACAGTGCTTCCACTGCAGCCAGTTTCTCTCTCTTTTTTTTTTCCTCTCTCTCCTTTCCTTTCATTCCTTCTATTTTTCCTTTCTTTATTTTTTCCCCTTTTCATTACTGGATATTGATCTCAGGACATGGGCACTGAGCTGTATCAGCCCTTTTATCTTTTATTGTGACACATGGTCTTGCTCACTCTCAGACTTGTCCAGGCTAGGTTTATACCGGAATCCTCCAGCCTCAGCCTCCCAAAGTACTGGGATTATAGCCACCACATAAGACTTCTCTTTTTCTCTCTGCTTCTTCTCTCTCTGTATACACACACACACACACACACAGACACACACACACACACACACACACACACACACACACACACACCGGTCACACCTTCTGTACCAGAATTCATAAATGGAATCTAGGCTCCCTCATCCACTGAAGAGCTCTGCACCCAAGGGAGAGGGACAGGTCACTGAACAGGACACTGTAGTGCCCCTCATTGTAAGACCCTCTCAGAGGTTGGTGTGGGGGTTGTGGCAGACCAGAAGAGGAGCAACCAACTTATCCAAGTGCAGGGAAATAAAGGACAGCTTCTCAGAGTCAGCAACGTTTGACTTACTTGGAAGGCAAGTAAGTGTCACCAGGGAGAAAATAGGGATACCCCTGTATTTTTCAGCTTGTCTTCAGTTGGGGCTTGGCATTGTTTTTTGTTTTGCTTTGTTTTGTTTTTTTGCTTTTTGGTACCAAATATTGAACTCGGGTCCTTGCGCTTGCAAGGCAGGCCACCGAACCACTAAGCTAAATCCCCTGCCCCGGGTCTTGGCTTCTTGGTGTGCATTTGTAGTCATGCTTAGTAAACAGTTTATAGAAGGTCCAACCATGAGCACACTCAGGAAGCAGGAACTTCACCCTCAGGGATTTGGATTCCAAATAGGAACGAACTTGGCTTCTGCCAGGTATTTTATTTCCTGTTTCCTTCCTGAGGCCCCAGAGCTCTCTAAAATTTGAGCTGGAAGCTACTCTGGTTGGAGGAGCAGCACAAGAAGAACAGTGGTTTTCCCAGTGTCCTGACTCGTGGTCCTGAATTTCACCTCATCCTTGGAAGAGGCTGAGAGGAAAAACACGAAATGTGCAGCCAGTTTATGTTCCACCTTCGCTCTGCCATTTCCGAGGCTCGTGGCCTGAGCCCAGACTTCCAATTTCTCTGACTCTTATGGGATCCTTTTCTTAAGGACCTTTAGAGTCTTTTCTTAAGAGTTGGAGGAAATTAAAAGCACAAAATTTAAAGAAACAGATGCACATTGGGCCTCAATAAGTTTCAGAGGTGGAATGACCATTGGAACCCATCCACACTTTCGTGTACAAGAGCCACTGCCAAATACACATTGTTAGTCAGGGGCCACATGGAGATTGAGTCCACTGAGGGGCAGAAAAAAGGGGGACTGGGGAGAAAAAGGAGCGAGGGAGATAACACATACTTATCTCATAATCGACTTTATGGCAGTAAATGCTGCAAAAAATGAAGAAAGGTTCATCTTTCTCTGTAAAGAATTGTCCAGAGAGCATAAATAAAGTTAAAATATGAAAGGAAAAAAATAGATGAAAGGAGGCAGATGAAGAGGGCTATTGATTAACCAATACACAGACTACAGACTTACAGCTTGGTGAGCACCAACCCTGGAGTGAGGCCAGAGGTGACCAGTGCAGCTGCTGAGGCTCGCGTGCAGAAGAATGTCTCCTGCACATGCCTGGTGACTGTATCTGTTCCTCTCTTTGCTGAGATCCATTTCTCTATATGTGCGGAGCTTGGCACCCAAGTTCTGTTAAGAGACAAGGGGTTCCTGTGGCTCAGTTGCATCCCCCTGAATTCATATGCCGGAAGCTTACTCCCTAGGCCCATGTTATTGGCATTTGGAAGTCTGTGATGGCATTGTTAGCTTTGTAAGAAGAGAGCCCCAAGTGTGCACATTGGCTCTGTCTCCCCTGTGATGCCCTGTGCTGTGGTCTAATGCAGCAAGATGGCCTTGCCAGGAGCTGACCAGATGTTGGAGTCATCCTGTTGGACCAGCAGCTGACTCATCCTGTTGACTCGGGAGCTGGATAAACCTTTGTAAATTTCCCAAGCTCAGGTATTTTGTTTTAGTTGAAGCAAGTGAAATAAGTCAGAGGCTTAGACTTCTGCAGCACTGATGTGGGGGCCTCTCAAAAAAGGAGGGCTGTGTTGATGGTGAGTGGTACTCCCAGAATACTGTGTGCAAGAAAGGGAGACAGCGTGTAAGCCATCTCCATATACCTACCCTCGTTATGAGAGAATTATACAATAGACTCTTGGAAAGAAGTCATGAAGTATTCAGATATTAAAAGTGAAAATTAGAAAAGGATGAACTGTGTCTAGTAACATGAATTGGCTCACCTCTTATGTAAATGTAGATTCTATTTATAATTATTTCCCTTGGTTTAAAGTCAACACACAGTATGTTTATAAATTTAAATAGGAAACTGGACAGATGAGGGATGTGGATGGAGTCTAGAAGGTGAACAGGCATCATGACCACTTAAGACCATGAAACATGTAGAGAGAGAGAGCAGGAAGAAGACTTGATGATCAGGTAAAGAAAATACAGTCTCAACTTTGGGTGTCTTGACTTAGGATTCTTTTGACTTATGATTATTTTCAGCTTTATAATGGTGTGAAAATAATACACATTTAGGAAATCCATACTTGAATTTTTAATTTGGATTCTTTCCCAGGTAAGCAACATGCACACAATACTCTATGCAGTGCTGGGCTGTGCAGTGAGCTACCCGGCTCAGCCCCTGGGTGGTGAGAGTGAGCAACTCTTACCCCACAATGTGGTATGGCATCAGTAATATTTGGATATTTGTTTTATAGTATTTTTCATACCACAGTGTCTACAATACAGACTGCTAAGGTTTATATCTAGGTGTCCCCAAGAGCCTCATGCACTCATACGCTTTTGAAAGGTGATTGGATTATGGAGGGAGATACTGACTTGTGGCTCAGAGGTGGGGCTGGGCTGAAGAGGTGGGCCACCAAAGGCGTGGCTTGGAGGGGTCTCGCTCCCTTCCTGGCTCCTCCCTTGACACTCTGCTTCCTGAACCCCATGCTCTGAGCAGCTGTCCTTTGCCATGACCCTGTGCCATGCCATCCTGCCTTGGAGCCAGTGCACTATGAACTGAAAGGTCTACAAATTGTGAACCAAAATAAACCTCTCCTCTTTTAAGTTGTGGATGCTAGGCATTGTGTCTCAGTGACTGAGACACCACGTATGGGTAGAAATAAAATATTCAGCACTTTATTTTAAAATATTTTTGTGTTTAAATATTTCTCTCAAATATAGGCTTCTGTGAGTGTCCTGGGCATGTGTAACCAGGCAAGGCTAAGCTAGGATGCTGAATAGGTCAGGCACATGAAATGCATTTTTAAATTATGCTATTTTCAACTTAGGATGGGCTTATGTGACAAATCTCATCGTAAGGTCCAGGAGCATCCATAACTGTTATTGTGAAGGTCATCTCCATTTAGAACAGAGCTAGAAAAGAGGAAGAATAAGGGAAGACTCACAGAGCCAATCCAGGGAGTGAGGAGCAGATGCTGGGGCAGGGAGAGGAAGGAGGGTTCATGTGTACAAAGTAAAGAGGAGCAGCTCAGATGGCTGATAATAGGACAGAAAACTGGGGTCCAGTTGGAAAGAATGGGAGCGCTCTGCACATTGCAGATTCAGCAAAGCTG